GGGAGGAGGGGGAGGGGTTCCCGGGAGGGCGAGAAGGGGCAGCGCCGCCCAGCACCTGGAGGGGGAGGGCGCCTCGTAGCCCGAGCCCCCGCGGGGCGTGGGGGAGTGGTTGGCCGGTGGTGATGCCGGCTCGCCCACAGCTCTTGGAAGTCTCCTCACACACACATTTCGCCTTTTTCCCNGTGCCAGGCAGTGCTGATCCACCCACCCTGCATAGCCAGTTCTCAAACATGCCCACAAGTCATCTTCAGCCACCCCCACTGGCGCAGGCCACCACACTACTGTCACCTGGGCAGCCCTCCCAGGGCCAGCCTCCCCAGCCACCCACACACCTTCTTAAGATGCCTCCAACAACCTGCACAGGCCACCCCTTGTGGTTCCCTCAGGGACACCCTGTGCATGATGCTCTGCCCCATGACCCCATCCTGGTGCCCCAGCTCCCCAGGAACACTGGTCCCCAGCCCTCTGCACACGTCAGCCACACTTTGGCGAAGTCCCCAGAACCGCTGGCCTCCTGCTCTTGCTGCCCCAGGCTCATGGCACCTCCCTCTCCTCCTACTACATCCCAGCCCCCAGCCCCCCCCAGCCAGCTATCCAGGAGGCCCATGGGAGGGCCTGGGGTGAGGGGCCAGGCTGGGGCCAGGAGGGCAGGATGCCGGTGGGTCGTCCACCTGTCTGTCCTCAGCTAATTTTAGCTGCGTTTTCCATGGCCTGGCAAAGTGGGCCAGTAGCTCCCGCGGTGATTCTGCGGTTTCTGGGACAGCACCGCGCTGGGTCAGCGGCAAAGTGGGGCGCAGGAGGGGTGGGGGTGCGTGCAGGGCCAAGGGCAGGGAAGGAGACGTGTGCTGGCCGCGTGGCAGGGCTGGGGTGTGTGCACAGGCGGCAGAAGTCTGGGGGTGTGTCCGACCTCCGTCCTGCCCGCCTCCGGCAGTGAGGGGCCGCTGGCCTCAACTACTGGGCCACCCAGTGTGCCCGTGGCCTTGGAAGGGTTGGGGCTCTGAGCCTGACAGCCACCCTTGGCCCCCTAGCAGCGACCTGTGATGCTGCCGCCCCCCGTCGCCCCGTGGCCCCATGATGACCCACAGCCCCGCCTCAAGCGAGGACGAGGAGCGCCACAGTGCCAGCGAGTGTCCCGAGGGGGGCTCAGAGTCCGACAGCTCCCCAGACGGGCCCGGGAGAGGCCTCCGGGGGACCCGGGGCCGGGGCAGCGGGGCACCTGGTAACCTGGCCTCGGCAGGAGGCCTCCAGGGCCGCTCCATGTCTGTCCCGGACGACGCCCACTTCAGCATGATGGTCTTCAGGATTGGCATCCCCGACCTGCACCAGACAGTGAGTGACCCTGTCCCTTGACAGCAGGGGGACAGAGGCCCAGGCCTGCACTGGAAGGCCTCCACGTGGCCCACATGTGCTTTCCGAAATCCCCCCTCCCTGGTCCCAGAATCACCGCCACCCCTTTCCCAGGCCAGCTCAGGCTCCTCCCTGTCGCCTTCCCCACCAGAAATGCCTGCGCTTCAACCCTGATGCCACCATCTGGACAGCCAAGCAGCAGGTGCTCTGCGCCCTGAGCGAGAGCCTGCAGGACGTGCTCAACTACGGCCTGTTCCAGCCCGCCACCTCGGGCCGTGACGCCAACTTCCTGGAGGAGGAGCGGCTGCTGAGGGAGTACCCCCAGTCCTTTGAGAAGGGGGTGCCCTACCTGGAGGTGAGGCCCACAGCCTTCCCATGCTGAGAGGCGTGTCCCCCCACACACAGCGGCCCCCTCTAGTTCTCCCAGCCAAGGCCCTTAGCAAGGAATCTTCCAGATTTCCGGGCCCCTAAGAATCACGAGAGTCAGAGAGGCCCGAGTTCCTGTCTGTTCTCTGAGCAGCAGCCTGGCCTTGGGACCAAAGCCACTTCCACGCTCTAAGCTTTTCCTCGCCCATCACGTTGGGGAAGGATTCCTAGTTTTAGCAGGTGTTTTGGAGCATTCCCTGTTGGATCCAGACTCCCCCTTCACGGTAGGCGTTACAGTCTGCACCCCCACAGGAGGCCTGTGCCCCTCTGCCCACGCAGCCAAGGCCGGGGCCGGTTCCACCCTGACCCTGAGCTCAGAAGGGCGTCCAGCCTCCGCCTCAGGCCCCTGACTCTGCCTCTCTCTCCCCTCACCCGCCCTTCGCCTCAGTTCCGGTACAAGACTCGAGTTTACAAACAGACCAACCTGGATGAGAAGCAGCTGGCCAAGCTGCACACGAAGGTGAGACTGCCCTGCTGGCACCCCCCATCCCACTGTCCCCCCCCGAGTCCGCGCCCCAGGCATCTCCTCCCACCTCTTCTTAAGTCCTCCACATACCTCAGCCCTTTTGTTCCTCTGCCAGGGTACCCATTTGGGGACGTCTGGGATAGCCCCAAATGCCCCCCACTCTCTCTAGCATAATTCTCTTTTTTAAAACATGCTTTTATTGATTTCAGAGAGAGGGAGGGAGAGGGAGAGAGAGAGAAACATCAATGATGAGAGAGAGTCATTGATCGGCTGCCTCCTGCACGCCCCTGACTGGGGATGGAGCCCACAACTGGGGCATGTGCCCTGACCTGGAATCAAACCGCCGTCTCCTGGACCCCAGGTTGACTCTCAACCACTGAGCCATGCCAGCCAGGCCAGCATAACTCTTCCTTAACCTCCCTTTTTGCCTGCATGCCTGTGCTCAGGCCCACACCACTCCCTCCTGGCTCCCACTTTCTTCATCCTGAGGCTCTCCCGTCTCATCTCCTGGGTCCCTCCTCTCCACACAGGGCCCCTCATTCCCCTTAGCCTAGACTGTGACATCCAGTGTCCCTCTGCCTGGGGCCGTTTTATAGATACCCTGCAGTCCCCCAGTGCCATGGCCTGAATCTCTACCAGATCCAAGGACATCCCCTCCCCACCACATCTACCCTCCAGGCACCTTGCCTTCCAGCCCTCGGGCCGTATGTCCCCATGTCTCTCCTGGTCCCCTAAGAGCTAGGAGGAAGCCAGGGGGCTGCTTTAGTCAACAGTGATGTGAAGACGTCTTGTCATTTGGGGGAAAAGCCCCCTGGTTCCTCCCCCCCCCATCATTTGCCCNTTCCCATCTCCATGGCAACGGTGCAGGAGCTGGGCCTGGTGTGGGGGGGAGGGACCAGACCAGACATTCTGGTTTCCGGTGCTGGGGTAGGAGTGGGGGAGAAGAGGAGCCAGCAGACCCCATTGGGGACCCACCTTCCTAAGGCACCTCATTGGAGAAGAGTAGGGATCTGAGGATGACTTCCCACCTGTCTTCACCCCACTCCTTAGCCCTCCCAGCCCCTCCCCCAGTCCCCCTCCGAGTGGGGCCACCAGTGCCAGGCAGTGCTGATCCACCCACCCTGCATAGCCAGTTCTCAAACATGCCCACAAGTCATCTTCAGCCACCCCCACTGGCGCAGGCCACCACACTACTGTCACCTGGGCAGCCCTCCCAGGGCCAGCCTCCCCAGCCACCCACACACCTTCTTAAGATGCCTCCAACAACCTGCACAGGCCACCCCTTGTGGTTCCCTCAGGGACACCCTGTGCATGATGCTCTGCCCCATGACCCCATCCTGGTGCCCCAGCTCCCCAGGAACACTGGTCCCCAGCCCTCTGCACACGTCAGCCACACTTTGGCGAAGTCCCCAGAACCGCTGGCCTCCTGCTCTTGCTGCCCCAGGCTCATGGCACCTCCCTCTCCTCCTACTACATCCCAGCCCCCAGCCCCCCCCAGCCAGCTATCCAGGAGGCCCATGGGAGGGCCTGGGGTGAGGGGCCAGGCTGGGGCCAGGAGGGCAGGATGCCGGTGGGTCGTCCACCTGTCTGTCCTCAGCTAATTTTAGCTGCGTTTTCCATGGCCTGGCAAAGTGGGCCAGTAGCTCCCGCGGTGATTCTGCGGTTTCTGGGACAGCACCGCGCTGGGTCAGCGGCAAAGTGGGGCGCAGGAGGGGTGGGGGTGCGTGCAGGGCCAAGGGCAGGGAAGGAGACGTGTGCTGGCCGCGTGGCAGGGCTGGGGTGTGTGCACAGGCGGCAGAAGTCTGGGGGTGTGTCCGACCTCCGTCCTGCCCGCCTCCGGCAGTGAGGGGCCGCTGGCCTCAACTACTGGGCCACCCAGTGTGCCCGTGGCCTTGGAAGGGTTGGGGCTCTGAGCCTGACAGCCACCCTTGGCCCCCTAGCAGCGACCTGTGATGCTGCCGCCCCCCGTCGCCCCGTGGCCCCATGATGACCCACAGCCCCGCCTCAAGCGAGGACGAGGAGCGCCACAGTGCCAGCGAGTGTCCCGAGGGGGGCTCAGAGTCCGACAGCTCCCCAGACGGGCCCGGGAGAGGCCTCCGGGGGACCCGGGGCCGGGGCAGCGGGGCACCTGGTAACCTGGCCTCGGCAGGAGGCCTCCAGGGCCGCTCCATGTCTGTCCCGGACGACGCCCACTTCAGCATGATGGTCTTCAGGATTGGCATCCCCGACCTGCACCAGACAGTGAGTGACCCTGTCCCTTGACAGCAGGGGGACAGAGGCCCAGGCCTGCACTGGAAGGCCTCCACGTGGCCCACATGTGCTTTCCGAAATCCCCCCTCCCTGGTCCCAGAATCACCGCCACCCCTTTCCCAGGCCAGCTCAGGCTCCTCCCTGTCGCCTTCCCCACCAGAAATGCCTGCGCTTCAACCCTGATGCCACCATCTGGACAGCCAAGCAGCAGGTGCTCTGCGCCCTGAGCGAGAGCCTGCAGGACGTGCTCAACTACGGCCTGTTCCAGCCCGCCACCTCGGGCCGTGACGCCAACTTCCTGGAGGAGGAGCGGCTGCTGAGGGAGTACCCCCAGTCCTTTGAGAAGGGGGTGCCCTACCTGGAGGTGAGGCCCACAGCCTTCCCATGCTGAGAGGCGTGTCCCCCCACACACAGCGGCCCCCTCTAGTTCTCCCAGCCAAGGCCCTTAGCAAGGAATCTTCCAGATTTCCGGGCCCCTAAGAATCACGAGAGTCAGAGAGGCCCGAGTTCCTGTCTGTTCTCTGAGCAGCAGCCTGGCCTTGGGACCAAAGCCACTTCCACGCTCTAAGCTTTTCCTCGCCCATCACGTTGGGGAAGGATTCCTAGTTTTAGCAGGTGTTTTGGAGCATTCCCTGTTGGATCCAGACTCCCCCTTCACGGTAGGCGTTACAGTCTGCACCCCCACAGGAGGCCTGTGCCCCTCTGCCCACGCAGCCAAGGCCGGGGCCGGTTCCACCCTGACCCTGAGCTCAGAAGGGCGTCCAGCCTCCGCCTCAGGCCCCTGACTCTGCCTCTCTCTCCCCTCACCCGCCCTTCGCCTCAGTTCCGGTACAAGACTCGAGTTTACAAACAGACCAACCTGGATGAGAAGCAGCTGGCCAAGCTGCACACGAAGGTGAGACTGCCCTGCTGGCACCCCCCATCCCACTGTCCCCCCCCGAGTCCGCGCCCCAGGCATCTCCTCCCACCTCTTCTTAAGTCCTCCACATACCTCAGCCCTTTTGTTCCTCTGCCAGGGTACCCATTTGGGGACGTCTGGGATAGCCCCAAATGCCCCCCACTCTCTCTAGCATAATTCTCTTTTTTAAAACATGCTTTTATTGATTTCAGAGAGAGGGAGGGAGAGGGAGAGAGAGAGAAACATCAATGATGAGAGAGAGTCATTGATCGGCTGCCTCCTGCACGCCCCTGACTGGGGATGGAGCCCACAACTGGGGCATGTGCCCTGACCTGGAATCAAACCGCCGTCTCCTGGACCCCAGGTTGACTCTCAACCACTGAGCCATGCCAGCCAGGCCAGCATAACTCTTCCTTAACCTCCCTTTTTGCCTGCATGCCTGTGCTCAGGCCCACACCACTCCCTCCTGGCTCCCACTTTCTTCATCCTGAGGCTCTCCCGTCTCATCTCCTGGGTCCCTCCTCTCCACACAGGGCCCCTCATTCCCCTTAGCCTAGACTGTGACATCCAGTGTCCCTCTGCCTGGGGCCGTTTTATAGATACCCTGCAGTCCCCCAGTGCCATGGCCTGAATCTCTACCAGATCCAAGGACATCCCCTCCCCACCACATCTACCCTCCAGGCACCTTGCCTTCCAGCCCTCGGGCCGTATGTCCCCATGTCTCTCCTGGTCCCCTAAGAGCTAGGAGGAAGCCAGGGGGCTGCTTTAGTCAACAGTGATGTGAAGACGTCTTGTCATTTGGGGGAAAAGCCCCCTGGTTCCTCCCCCCCCCATCATTTGCCCTTGTTCTCCGCCAAGTATCCCACCCCTCCCGCCTACACTGTCCACTGCGGGAGCCACCGGCCACACGCAGCTCCCAAGCACTGGCAGTGTGGCCGCTCCCCACGCTGAGCTGCGCTGTGAGTGTGAAATGCATGCCAGACTTCAGAGGCTCAGGATTCCCCCCCAAAGTAAGATACCTCCTTAATAAATTTCATACAGATTACCAGTTGAAACAGTGATAGTAGGTTAAAACAAGATATGTCATTAAAGTGAATTTCAACACCATTAATAGTCTCCCTTCCTTTTTACTTAAAAAAAATTTTTTTAATATGTTTTTATTGATTTTTAGAGAGAGAGTAAGGGAGAGAGAGGTAGAAACATCCATGAGAGAGAAACATCGATCAACTGCCTGCTGCACGCCCCCTACTGGGGATTGAGCCCCAAATCCGGGCATGTGCCCCGACCGGGAATGGAACCAGCAACCTCCGGGTGCACAGGATGACTCTCAACCAAGCCACACCAGCCAGGGCATTTTTTTAATTAAAAACATTTATTGATTGATTGATTGATTTTGGAGAGAAAGAGGAAGGGAGAGAGAAAAACATCAATTTGCTGTTCTACTTACTGATGCAGTCATTGGTTGATTCTTGTATGTGCCCTGACCAGGGATTGAACCCACAACCTTGGCGTTTCGGGATGATGCTCTAACCAACTGAGCTGCCCAGCTAGAGTGTTACCCTTCCTTTTTATAAAAAACTGATTACTAGGGACTTTTGGATGCCATGTGTGGCTCGCTGTGTATTTCACTAGACAGCGGGGCTGGAGACCCCAGCTTTTTCCCCTTGCTCCCTGATGGGCCTGTCTTCTCTCTCCTGTCCACGACTCAGACCGGACTGAAGAAATTCCTGGAGTACGTGCAGCTCGGGACGTCTGACAAGGTGGCTCGGCTGCTGGACAAGGGGCTGGACCCCAATTATCATGACTCAGATTCAGGAGGTAGGCAGGGAGCCAGGGGCTTTGGGGGGCGCCCAGCATGAGGCCAGGGGGCTGCGTGTGACTGGCCTGTATCGCCCCTCAGAGACCCCCCTGACGCTGGCTGCCCAGACGGAAGGCTCTGTAGACGTGATTCGAACCCTGTGCCTGGGTGGAGCCCACATCGACTTCCGAGCCCGGGATGGCATGACAGCCCTGCACAAGGCCGCGTGTGCCCGGCACTGCCTCGCTCTCACGGTGAGGTGCCAGCTCCCTGGGACCCTCCCGCAGATCAGAGACACCCCCAAATTGCTATGTTTCCCACGCAGACTGCACCAGGCAAATTGCCCCAGACCTTCTCTCTTCCTCCCCTCCATTGTTATTCTCCCCATCGGACCCCAGGTGTAGCCCCCTCCCTGGCTCACAACCAACTATAGCTGATAGTCACACACCCAGGTAGATGACATCACCCTCCTGACACCCAGGTACTTGGTGTCCTCCATTTCCTCTGGCCCAGCTCAGCACCAACCCTGCCACTATCTCCCTGAGGTGTAGACTCTCCTTGTGCCCCTCAAAATGCACAGGCAACTCCCTGCTTTTCCCCCAGATAGAGACCGTCCTCCATACACACCCTGTGAACAGAGCCCCCATCTAGTGTTTGCTCCCCTGAGCACACTCCCCCTCCTCTCACTTGCCAACACAGCCCCTCCTTCCAAATAGATGAGCCTCATGTATCCACAAATGCATACATGAGTCAGCTTGTACAGTCTTATTTTAGATTACTAGTCCCTTTTTTTATTGATTGATTTCAGGAGAGAGGAAGGGAGAGAGAAAGAAAGAAACATTGATTTGTTGTTCCACTTATTTCCGCATTCATTGGCTGGATCTTGTATGTGCCCTGACCGGGGACTGAACCTGCAACCTGGGCATATCGGGATGTTGCTCGACCCACCTGAACTATGCGGCCAGGGCTGCTATTCCTTCTTCCCACCCCCTCCCAAGGGTACTAGTTCTCTCTTCACACACAGGTCAGGGTAGATACCCCCAAAGATACGTCGCTGTGGATAAATCCCCGATTCACAGATACCCCAGCTAACAGACCCTGCCTCCCTTTCTCCAGCTCTTTCTTGAAGAACCCCAAATGCAGTCAGACACCAGCCACAAAACTCTCATACCCCAGAACCACAGACCCTCTTATGTATGAACCCCCAATGCACTGCCCGCCCCAGACCCAGACCCAGACGCGCACTGTCCGGCCTAGCAGCCACTAGCCATCTGGGGCTGTTTAGATTTAAATTGGTTAAAATGAACTAAAATCAAAACTTGGGCTTCTCAGGCTCACTAGCTGCATTCCAGGGCTCAGTAGCCCACGCGAGGCGGCCGTGCCAGGTGGTACATCTGTGACCATAGCCATGGCCACGGAACGTGCTGTTGGACAGCACCACTGCGGGCCATCCCCGCGCAGAGCTGCCACCAACACTGTCCCAATAACACTCGATGCCACCAGCCTTCCGTGCCCAGAGCTGCTCCTTGCGTGGGCCCGCTCCCTGCCCCCAAGCCCCTAGCCCCAGCGAGGCTGGCCGGCTGGCCTTAACCCAAGCTTGCTTTTTCCCAGGTCTCCTTCTCTGCCCCATCCTTGGGATCTTGGTCCCAATAACACCTCCCACTTGGCCAGGGGCCTCCTGTAGCCATACTCAGCTCTGTCCTTTGTCCCCACAGCCGTCCCACTGAGTAGGTGGGCACCGAGGCACCAAGTTCCCGCAACGGCTCATCCCACGCCAGCCATGGGGGAAGGGTGGGCTGGGTGTAGGAGACGGAGGGTCCTCTGCAGGCCTCCTCCCAGTCCCCCCATTGTTCACCGGGGATGGGAGAGTCTCAGAGAGAGAGAGAGGGCCAGGCTCAAGGTCGCACAAGGGCATCATGCCGGAACCGAGATGGGCACTGGCCAGGGGAGGTCACCCGGGACTCCCCGCCTCACAGGCTCTTCAGAGTGAGCCAGTCCTCCCGTGACTGTCATCTGTCTTGTCTCCCTTCCTAGGCACTCCTGGACCTTGGGGGCTCCCCCAACTACAAGGACCGCCGGGGGCTGACCCCTCTGTTCCACACGGCTATGGTGGGCGGTGACCCGCGCTGCTGCGAGCTGCTCCTGTACAACAGGGCCCAGCTGGGTGTAGCCGATGAGAACGGCTGGCAGGAGATCCACCAGGTGCTCCGGCTGGGCCAGGGCGGCTGGCACGGGGAGGGGCTGCCTGCGCCCAAAGCAGGGCAGGGATCAGGGGCCCTGTCCAAGGGGCTTGGGATCCAGATGCTGGGGGCCTCACCGAGGGTGGGGGTGAGGGTACATGGTCCCCAAAGAGGAAAAGATGGGGGTGTCAACACTGGAACCCCGAGGGAGCATGGGCTGGGGCACTGGATGCCTTGATCCCTGACACGGTCGAGGACGGCCTCTTGGGCTTCTTGAGGGGCCAGGCCAGACACCTGGGCCTGGGAATGACCGTGAAGCTGACGAGCTGGGTCTCTAAGGAGGAACGGGCCTGAAAGGAGAAGGGTGGACCTCAAGGTGAGGCGTGTTGCCAGGCGCCGTGAGCAGAGGGTCTGACGGCCTCCGTGGCTCCCTGTCGTCCCCAGGCCTGCCAGCGGGGTCACTCTCAGCACCTGGAGCACCTGCTCTTCTACGGGGCTGAGCCTGGAGCCCAGAACGCCTCGGGGAACACGGCCCTGCACATCTGCGCCCTTTACAACAAGGTCTGCCTGGCCCCCGACTCCCGCCCCACAGCCACCCCACGCCCTCTGCTCCTTCTCTCTCTCTCTCATTCATCCATCCATTCATTCATTCATTCATTCATTCATTCATTTGTTCATTCATTCAACAAGTATTTACTGAGCATCTTCCCTGTGTCAGGCCTGGAACTGGGGGTGCTGAGGACCAAGTGGTGAGCAAGCAGGACAGCCCCCTCCATCAGGGGCCATACCTGCCGTTACAATCCAGAGTGCAAAGAGGGAGCTCAGGGGGAATCCAGGTCTCTGTGGGAGCCCACGTGTGGGCTTGGGCTTGAGGCTGAGGGGGAGGGGGCTCTGGGGATGTGCCAGCAGTGCTCAGGTGAGCAGGAATCAGCTGACTAGAAAGAGGGGAGAAAGGGTGGTCCAGGCAGGGGGCATGGCCAGAGGGGAGAGGGTCAGTCTCCATTCAGCCGCCAGGGGAGCACCTGCTGAGCGCCAGTGCATGGTGGGGGTTGGGGGCACTGCAGGGGACAGAGGAAAAGCCAAGCCACAGCCCCCAAAGGGACAAGAGAGGGTTGTGAATTGCAGCAACTCAGGGTTGGGTGGATGGTCCCCATTTCTGGAGTGGAGGTGACCTATAAGGAGCTGGCAGGAGGTCTCATGTCCCCGCTCGGGTGTTCTGTGGGGGCCATTTGGGTTGGCAGGAGCTGGGGCTTTTGGCCTGATGACCCCAGCCCCTTGCTACTTGTGCCGCAGGCAGGCCTGGGCAGAGCAGCCCCCTCAGAGCTTGTCTCTCCACCCACTTCCTAAGGCACCCTGTCCTTGGAGGGCTGCGGGGGGACTCAGGCCTCTGCTGCTGGTCGTCAGCCCCTCCTCCCACCCTCCCCTGTTCTGTCTTCCAAAACAGCCCCAGCCCCTTCTGCCTCATCAGAACTTGCAGTGCTGGGAGGTGGCAGGTAGCCACATGCCGCCTGGTGGCAGCAAGCAGTCTGCTTGGTGCCCACAGAGGGAGAACGCAGTGTCTGTCAAACCCAACCAGCCCGGTGCCCGTGCCCCTCCCGGGGCTTCCGTCTCTCCTGCTCCCTGACTCCACCACTGGTGGGCAAGACCCGTGGGCAGCCCAGGGTCCCCCAAAAAAGCCCTGCCCCCTCTCCAAGGCTCAATCCTCTCCCCTAAATGAGAATAATGTCAGTGGGTTGAAGGAGATGAAAGATCGTGTGTATTAAGTGCTCATCCCTAGAAGGCGGCTGTAATAATAATAATTATCATTATCATTGTCAAAACCATTATCAGTCAGGATCCAGTCAGGAGCTGGAAGCCACACCGTTCATTTGAGCAGGGAAAATTCAATATGAAGAATTAATCACAAGAACAGTTCCTCTTAGCAAGTTAGAGGAGCCAGTCACTTCTCCGCCTTGGCCTTCCCCTTCCCCGTCTGTGAAATGGGTCAGTAACAAAGGACCAAGTGGGTGAATTTTTGCTTGCTCTTGGCAAGGTGCTTAAAGAACAGATGCTCAGCACATGTGAGGTCCGTTTCTACTTCTCCCCCCTTGCCTGCCCTCCCGGACTTTAAGTTCCCAGGGCCTGGAGCCGGGTCTGACATTTCTGCCCTCTCTGCTCCCCTGGCCTCCTGGCATGCGCGTGTAGCCCTGGTGGTGATGGTCAGGCTCATGTTTAGGCCATGAGCTCAAGGCTGGGGGCTAAGTCTGACCAATGTACTGTCCCAAAGCCCCAGCACATGGTAGGCCTAGAGGCATTTTTGTGAGTGAGTGAGTGAGTGAGCGAGTGAACGATGGGTCGACCACTTGGGTTTCCCCCAGGCCTGCACAGCACCCAGCTCGGGGCACTTAACAGGTGGTTTGCTTCCAGACAGGTCAAATGACTCAAGGGCCGAGTGAATGACATGAGCAAGCAAGTTCTGAATGACTCAGCGCCGCATCCTGCATCCCCACCCTCTCCTGCCTGTTTCTTGAGCATCTACTGCTCGCGGGATGGCGCCTGCCTGGGGAGGGGGGCGGGGGGAGTCATGGTCTGTCAGAGAGGCAGACGTGTAAGCAGGTAACTGCAGAGCTGAGAGATACGTGCTAGGACGCCAGCAAACACGGGGTTCCTGGGGCGTAGGTGGGAGAGCTGATGGAGCTGGTGCGGCTGCTCCGGCCGGGCGCTAGGCAAGCAAGGTGGCGCAGACACGCGAAACCACACCTGGCAGGGTTGGCGGTCTAGTTGGGGGAGCAGCGTGTGTGCACACAGACACACGCGCTGACAAACACACCCAGGAAACCGACCGGGCTACCGTCGCTGCCCAGTGACTGACTGGGCCATCAGAGTCGAGTGTCCACAGGATTAGAAAGCCAGGTTGCAGTCCTAGCTGCTCCACTAACTGGCTGTGTGACTTCGGGCAAGGATTTGCCCTCTCTGAGCTTGTCCAGCAAGCATCCTTGGTGGATTTGTCCAGTGGAGAGTGTCAGACCGAGATGGGTCTTGGTCATGCTGGTTCGGTTAGTATCTGGGGAGCTAGAGAAGAGTTGAGCGGGGGTCAGGGGACAGGTTGGGCTTGGCCAGGCCAAGACAAAGCAGAGGACTTCCCTCATTCAGCACCTGTTTATTGAACAGCTCCTCCGGGCCAGGCGCTATTCTGGCTGGTATGTTCCAGACAGAATCGAGCTCCCATGAAACGGACAACGTAGTGGGGATGGATGCTAAAGAGACAAGTAAAGTGGAAATGTAACTTCAGGGAGACAGCGTTATGAAGAAAATGAGCTAATACTGGCTTAGGAGAATGCCCAGGACATAGCAGGTGTCATCTAAATAAAAATAAAGCGGTGAAAAGACTGGGTTGTTTTTGACAGGGTGGTCAGAGAAGCCCTCTCTGAAGAGGTGGCGTTTGAGCGAAAATGAGTGAAGTGAGAAAGTGAGCTATGCGAAGGTGCAGAGAATTCAGAGCAGAGGGAGCAGCAGGTGCAAAGGCCCTGGGGCAGAAGTGTGCCCGTCAGAGGAAGGAGCCCACTGTGGCGGGAGCGGGAGGGGGTAGAAGATGAACTTGCTGAGGCTGAGGGTGGCAGGGCAGGCAGATCAGGTGGCAACTCCTGGGCCATGGGAAGGACGTTGGGTTTGATCCAGAGTGAGAGGGAGTGACATGTTGTGAGCGACACGGGTAAGGAATTGATCTGGGCGTGGACGGCATTGCGAGGGCACCACCCCTTCCCTTCTGGTTCTAGCAGAGTGTAATTAAGAGCATGGGCTCTGGGCAGACAGACCTGGGTTCGAACCGGATCGCCAGTGCACCGGCCCATCCCATGAGCTGCTGCCTCTGAGGCGCCCAGCCCCCAGCACGTGGCGTAGTAAGCCCTCCGTGAGGTTTAGGTGGGTGGCTCTCAGCCAGGGTGCTTCTGCCCCCCAGGGGACATTTGTCACTGTCTGCTGACATTCCCGGTTATCACAACTGGGAGGGGATGCTGCTGGCACCTAGTGGCGGAGACCAAGGATGCCGCTGAGCACCCTTTGATGGGCAGGATGGTGGAGAAGCCCTGCTTTGCAGCAGCGCCATCCGAGTCACGGGTGTAGTTTTAAGTGTCCCAGAGCCACATTTTTTTAAAAAAAAGAAAGAGTTGACTTGAATGTTAGTAGTATGTTTTATTTAATCCATTGTATCCACAATAGTATCACTTTAACACCTCATCAATACAAACATTACTCGAGGTGTTTTAAATTATTTTTTTCATGCTAAGCCCTTGCAATCCAGTGTGTGTTCAAATCAGCCACAGTGAAAGGGCTCAGGAGCCACACTCCGCAAAGTGGCTGCTGCCCTGGGGAAGGGGGGCTGAGATCATGTTATTCCTGAAGTTCTTTTATTTATTTATTTGTAATTTACTGATTCATTATTTTCTTTGGAGAGGTAAGGAGAGGGGGATAAGAACATAGTGAGAGAAACATCCATCGGCTGCCTCCTGCACGCCCCCTCCTGGGGATCGAGCCCGCAGCTCCAGCGGTGCCCTGACCGGGAATCGAACCGGCGACCTCTTGGTGCCCGGGACAACGCCCCACCAACTGAGCCGCGTCAGCCGGGCATAACTTACTGAGAGAGAGAGAGAAACATGGGTTTGTTGCTCCACTTAGTCACGCATCGCTGGCTGGCTCTTGCACGCGCCCTGGCCAGGGCCGAGCCTGCAACCTTGGCGGATCCGGGTGACGCTCTAACCACCGAGCCACCTGCCCAGGGTCTGAGGTTCTTAGCACAGGGCCTGTGTCCACTCACGGTGACCTCAGTTGTCTTTTTCTCCCTCACCCTGTGCCCCCGACCATGGCCTTCAGGAGACTTGTGCCAGGATCCTCCTGTATCGCGGGGCCAGCAAGGACGTGAAGAATAACAGTGGACAGACCGCCTTCCAGGTCTGGGGCGGGCAGACTTGGGGTGTGGGGGGTGGGCTCAGAGGGTCCCACAGGTGCATCAGAGGGGCATACTGGGAGGGGCCGAGCTGCTGAGGGCAGGGCTGGGACCTGACAGCTTCCCGCCCCTCCCCGTGCCCGGGCCACCTGCCTCCCTGCCCCTCCCTCCAGGTGGCAGTGATCGCTGGGAATTTTGAACTGGGGGAGCTGATTCGAAACCACCGAGAGCAGGACGTGGGTGAGTGAGTGGGGCTGGGGCCAAGGGAGAGCCTAGGGAACTTGGGGGTGCATGGTGGGATCCGTGAGTCAGAGGACCTGATTTGGGGGTCAGGATGGGATAGAGAAGACCTCGAGCATCCCAGTAGTGGTAGGGGGTGCGATTCCAGGCCCTTGCTCTTTCTCATCGCGATCTTTCTCCCCTCGTGCCTCTCCCCACCATCTCTTACCTGCATGTCCCCCACCGCCTGCCCCTGTCTCCTCTCCCCTCTGCCCCCCTGCCACTGTGCCCGCTCAGTGCCCTTCCAGGAGTCTCCCAAGTACGCGGCCCGGCGGCGGGGACCCCCGAGCGCCGGGCTGACGGTGCCCCCAGCTCTGCTGCGGGCCAACAGCGACACCAGCATGGCCCTGCCCGACTGGATGGTGTTCGCCGCCCCAGGAGCCTCGTCCGCTGGGGCCCCTGGCCAGAACTCGGGGCCCCAGGGCCAGTCGCAGCCCACGGCCCCCAGCGCCAAGCTCAGCACTGGGACCCTCCGAAGTGCCAGCAGCCCCCGGGGCGCCCGGGCTCGCTCCCCATCCCGAGGGAGGCACCCCGAGGAGGCCAAGAGGCAGCCCCGTGGACGGCCCAGGTAGGGAAGGCTCAGCCCTGGTCCCAAGGACAGACCCCAACCCAGCCAAATCCCCTCCTCAGAGTCACAGCACCCAGGCCGGCTCAGCTGCCCACCTCCTGTCCCACGTATGGCTCGTCCCAGCCCTCAGCCTTCCAACTGCATGGACCCCTTGGCCTCCAGGTCTCTCTCCTGGCCCTCAAGGAAGGGAGGGTATTATGAGCCGGGCTCGAACCTGTCCCAAGGGCACAAAAGTTCGGCTGGGCACCTGCTCTACACCAGGGGCCTGGGCGCATCCAAAGAAATGCTGGTTCTAGCCCCTGAGGACAGATAGAAAGACAGGGTGAGGTGAGAGAAGGTGAACAGAGTGGGTGCTGGCAAGGGACTTGGGGAGAGGAGTCAGAGCCTGGAGATGAAGCTGGAGGAGGGGAGGGTGGG